TATACAAATTAATGAACAACGCGGTATTTGGCAAAACAATGGAAAATGTACGGAATCATGTCGACGTTAAACTTCTAACAAAGTGGGATGGTCGTTACGGTGCGGAGGCGATGATTTCGAAACCAAATTTTCATAGTCGCAGCATCTTTTCAGAAAATTTAATCGCCGTGGAATTGCGAAAATTCGAAGTGAAATTCAACAAGCCAATCTACGTGTGTATGTGAATCCTCGACATATCCAAGATCTGCTTGTATGAATTTCACCATGAATATATGTTACCGATGTATCGCGAGCAATGTAAAATCATGTATACGGATACCGACAGTCTCATATACCACATCAAGTGCGAGGATGTATATGAGACGATGAAACGCGATATACATATACGATTCGACACGAGCGCTTATCCTGTAGATAACGCATACGGTATACCGCTAGTAAATAAGAAAGTCCCCGGTCTAATGAAAGACGAGAATAATGGTGCGATAAAGACGGAATTCGTCGGACTCAGAGCGAAAATGTACGCGTTGCGAGTCGATGGTAAGAAAGATACGAAGAAAGCTAAAGGTGTCAAAAGCAACGTGGTAGCGCGAACGATAACATTCGACGATTACACGCATTGTCTGCGAGACGAGATAGAAATGACTCGCCGACAAACTTGTATAAGATCGAAACTGCATGAGGTGTACACTATAGCCGAGACGAAAATCGCTCTGAGTCCGTACGACGACAAACGATACATCATGCCCGATTCTACAGAAACGCTGCCATGGGGACATTACCGAATACCTTTATAATATATTCACAGTATTATTGTACATTATGGGATAGTAATAAGTCTATTCACATGTAAAATAAATGATGAACGCGTCTTCTTTGACTTAAACACATTGATTATTGTGAAGACTGTAATTAGTATAAAATAAATGACACAACTATATATGTATATATGTATATATGTATTTAATATATTCATATACATGTTTAATAGAATAAATACATTCTTTAAAAATTAAACCACATTGTTCTTATCTATCCACGAGTTATGCGATCCATCGAATCCCAACCATTTCACATAAACCTTGTCACCCTTCCTGCGCAGTACCTTTTCCACAAGATACACATCTGGGTTAGTGGCGCGATGCAACTCGTACTCGTAGAACGCTCCTGCAACGGGTTCTCCGCGATAATCCTCGAGTAGATACGTTACGGGATTAGTGTGTTGTACTGTAACGATCTTAAACACCTCGGTGGTCCAATTTGGTGTATAACCCTTCTCAAACACCGTCTTGTATCTGCTAACGCGTACCGCGTCACCCACTTTGAACTTTGCCGAACCAGCGATTTTTACGTGGCTGTACACAGTTTTCAGAAGCCTGTTAGCAACCGCAGGGGTAACGTCGACGGGTCGCATGCCGATGGTCCTGTGCTTGCATGCGTTGTACTCTGCAATGAGTCGTGGTAATAAATCTATCCACTTGTAACTTCCATTGAGTGTAAACATCTTCCACATGGTGTTCTTCAATGTGCGATTGAACCGCTCGATGACCGATGCTTTTCAATACGGAATAGGTGGAATAGAGATTGATGTTGCGTTTCTTAAAAAATCGTTGCACGTCGCCGTTGTAAAATTCTTTCCCCATATCGGTTTGCAGGTTTTTCGGGCATCTATCGCTCTCCCGAATTATCTCACTGATAGTGTGCGAGATTCGTCGTGGCTTATAACCCAGCGAATACATGTGAGAATTGTCGTGGCAAATAGCCCAACAAATACATGCGATACTTGTCGTGGCAAATAAGCAAACGAACCGAGAAATGCGAATCGATGGCAACATCGGCTAGGTGACGGTCAAATCATCACGTCCGACCAGCTCATCGTCACAACGGGCTAACCGAATACAACCGCGCGGTTCGCATTAAAAACAAATACCCTCGACATTAGGACCGTATGAGAGCGACGACAAATAAAGATTTGAACCGAAGTTCAGTTGCTTGTGAGACAGCAATAATATAGCACGCTTCACAGAATAAGTTAAGAGTAACGTATGGCAGATCGCATCCAAGAGTAGTGATCGCGAAATACAAAGTCGCATCGCGCTGGTGATATCTTGCTCTTATACGCTCTTAAGAGTTCGACTGACTGCCTTCGCGCTTCCGTGTGTGACCGCGAAACGAGCGCAGCTCAACGTCGACCATTCTCACGAACGCGCTTCTCTCGTCTACTCCGTGCGAGCACGAGACTGATTGTGAACGTTACTAATATAGATTCTCAGTGTATGTTGTTAATAAATTGACTGGTGTGTGAACAATTTGTAATTCTGCCCGTCATGTCTATCCTTGATGTTTTCGGGGCACCAGTCGGAGCTCGGTCCGGCGATACAAATAAAATAACATCGCGTTGCTCTCTGGCCGTCGCCTGGCGAACCTCGTTCGCGAGGCAAGCGGAGACGCGCACAGATAGCATTAGCCGTCTCGCTTCCACCTTTAGTCTTAAGGGGATGCTAAAGCCGCTGGCGAACTCGATTAGTGTCGATAAGATAGGAGATCGCGTCAATTATCGATTATTTTTAGTTCTAAGTTCTACGTTAGATGTCGTTTTCGGCAGCAGTAAAGAAGAAATTGGAGGGCAGACCT